CGTGGCTGATAGGCTAGGTGAACACTCAATAAGCGTAGTATTAGTCATGTGGAAATGCTTCGAGACGGCGTTGTTTCCTGCCTTGTTAGACGGGGCGGTCTGCCTCAACTATCCGATTAAATTGCTCTGGATGTTGCTAAAACCTTATGGACAGCCGAGTGTGATAAAAGGCCTATGGCTGCTGGAGTCTACCGACAGTGGCGCTGCAAGACATTTTAGCAGGTTGCACGCACGCGACAACGTTGTTGAGTATACTGACGCCCTGCGTGACCAACAAGGTGCACAACAAGCATTGCACCATCATGCCCAGGGCCCTGGTCGGCGACAGTACTGTGCAGTGGACTGGTTCTAAGCTTCTGGAGGTCTCTGAGATATCGGAGGCTGTCTCGGAGTTCAAGGAAGATGTTCGGGAACTGGGGCTCATTGTTCAACCTGGGGGGGTCGGGGTGGGTTTCCAGACCCAGGGGTTCTCGGAGGTCGTTCGACAAGCGTGCTAAGCGATTGCGTGTCACGGCTAAGAAATGGACCAGACAGCTTGGGCATGAGCATTCGGGTACTGAGCCGATCAGAAACAAGCCGAAGTGAGACTCGACACTATTAGAGATAGGATGCCAAGGGTACTCGTGGTGCGCAAGAACACTGAGGGCTTGGTCACCGCACTTTGGCGCACTGGTTTGCTTCCTGCAGCTGCGCACGGTGCTTCTGTTACTGGGGTTTCGGGGCAGGAGCTCCTCAGACTCAGGCGCACAGCTGGTGTAGTTTGTGGAAGGTATTGCACGGCATCTTCTTTGACGCTAGTGTTAGCCACACAATGAGATGAGCAATATGATCTTGTTTTTTCACGCTACCCTGGAGCCTGTGAAGGCGTATGCGAGCTTTGTATGGGAGCAGCGTGTTTCCTTGGGACGGCTCCAGGGGGCTTGGGAGGCGGGCAACCAGCAACTTCGGGACAAAAAACCAACTGGGCGGATGCTCGGGGACCGGTACCAATAGCGTGGCCCACAATAGCCAGGACAGACTGGAGTATGCTATCTAGCACCGTCTTTTGCGATGGCAACCAGTACAGAATCGATTAAATGAGAATTCCGCCCAGATCGGTACTCTCATTGGTCAAGGATGGGGTTCAGAGACCGCATGCTTCGAATGCATTAGAATGGCATAAGGACGTGTGCTTTGGTGGCGAGCAGATGTCGATGCGTGCTCCTCGGCGATGCCTAGGCGGTACCAAGGCTGCTGTCCGGGTCCCTAGGTTTGCTGGTGCCTTAAGAACGCTCTGGTCTGGAGGACTCTGGACAAGATCTAGGATGGCCAACGCGGGATATCGCCTTTCCCCAGCGTGCCCATGGTGCCCCACTGGACCTCCCGACACCTTAGGCCACCAAATGTATGATTGCTCAAGGCTCTATGACGAAGCCCAAGATGAGGACCTCAGATGGGACCCCAAGTTTGATCATATCCAGAAACACCTCCAGTCCATGGGCGTCACGGGCCTCGGGAACTCCGATTGGGACAAGTTCGAATGTTGTGTGGGCATGCCGCTGTCTCCTCCAGCCATTCCGAAGGTCCCCTTGAAGATGCCCGTGGTGCTCTGGGGTGATTGGTCGTCGGGCAGGTCCACGTGGACCACGGCGGTGTACACTGATGGATCTGGCATGGCCCCAAGTTGGCCAGGGCTTCGGAGACGTGGCTGGGGGATATGTCAGCTAGGAAACAATGGCATGCCCGTGCGAGGGGCCTGCGGTGGGCTAGCTGGCCCGTTACAGACTGTAGGACGTGCTGGGCGTGCTGCGGTTTGGCAAGCGCTTTCCTTGCTCCCGTCCGTCTCGCTCATCGTGACGGGCCTTGTGTCTTTATGTAAAGAAGGGAAGACGTGGCACGAAGACCGTGCTGACGCCCAAGCTACATATCCATATAGCTGGAGAGATATATTCAATGTGGCCGGCGACAAGAAGCGGCCATCTTTTCAGTGGATTCCAGTTCACATGAATCTGGAAATGCGCTGCTCTCAGGTTACCCGTTTGAGTTCTACCTCGGCAGTGCGTGGTCGGACTGGTTCGCGAAGCGTGGGTCCCTGGAGCATGCCTATCCAGAAACGATTGTTAAGTACTGCGAGGGACTCTTGTCCGAGGCAAAGTTCAAGGCCAGGTATCTCGGGTGGGCCGCGGCGAAGATTGCTTATCGTGATGGTGAGAGTGACCGCCCCGCACGTTCTTTTAGGCAATCAACTGCGGCCCCGAAGTCGGGCCTTCACTCAGCATTGTATGGTGCAATTGTCTCGGGACGGGGCCAAGGTGCTCCAGTGTCGTATGTGTACCTTTGTTGCCAGGACCCCTGCTAGCCTGGTCAAGCTCCTTGGGACCCCGTGCAACCCAACCCCTCAGCAGAGGTTGATGGCGTCTCGGGACAAGGGCTTGCAGGAGGCTCCATGTATGCGTAGTCAGGCGGTAGGAGTGGCCCTGCAGTTTGCCCAAGAGGAGGGTGCTGCCAGCTCCCAAGAGGCGGCACCCGTGCTCAGTGAATTGTCTGCTCCGCCGCCTGACGAGATTGTTGAGCTCCGTGGGCACCGCACATGGGCGACCCAAGGGGTTATGGTTTGTACATTGTGCGGCTCTTATCAGGTGCCTGCCAAGGCTGCCACATGTAATCTTGATGGGGCCTGTTTAGGCCCCGCTGAGGACAAGCAGGCCAGAGCCAGGCAAAGATCCAGGATCGATGCCACAAAGGCTGGCAATCATCCGAAGACGGGTAAGAAACTCGTATAGTTTTGTGGGCCCTGACAGGGCCCATATGTTGGCTATTGGTTCAGTTGCACGACAGGTCATCGGCGTGCTCCTCCTCCTCCTCCTCCTCCTCCTCCTCCTCCTCCTCCTCCTCCTCCTCCTCCTCCTCCCTCCTCCCTCCTCCTCCTCCTCCTCCTCCTCCTCCTCCTCCTCCTCCCTCTCTCCTCCTCCTCCTCCTCCTTCCTCCTCCTCCTCCCCCTGCCCCTCCTCCTCCTCCTCCTCTTTCCCTCCTCCTCCTCCTCCCTCCTCCTCCTCCTCCCTCCTCCCGCCTCCCTCCCCCTCCTCCTCCCCCCACCTCCTCCTCTCCTCCTCCTCCTCCTCTCTCCTCCTCCTCCTCCTCCTTCTCCTCATCCTCCGCCCCCCCTCCTCCTCCTCCTCCTCCTCCTCCTCCTCCTCCTCCTCCTTCCACTCCTCCTCCTCCTCGTACCTCGTCTCTGTCCTCCTCCTTCCTCTCCCCTCCTCCTCCTTCCTCCCCTCCCTCCTCCTCCTCCTCCCCCCTTCCGCCCTCCTCCCTCCTCCCTCCTCCCGCCCTCCCTCCGCCTCCTCCCTCCTCCCTCCTCCTCCTCCTCCTCCTCCTCCTCCTCCTCCTCCCTCCTCCTCCTCCTCCTCCTCCTCACTCCTCCTCCGTCCCGCCTCCTCCTGCCCCTCCTCCTCCTCCCCTCCTCCTCCTCCCTCCTCCTCCTCCTCCTCCTCCTCTCTCCCTCTCCTCCGCCTCCGCCTCCTTCCTCCTCCTCCTCCTCCTCCCCCCTCCTCCTCCTCCTCCTCCTCCTTCCTCCTCCTCCTCCTCCTCCTCCTCCTCCTCCCTCCTCCTCCCCCTCCTCCCTCCTCCTCCTCCTCCTCCTCCTCCCCCTCCTCCTTGGCATGGGCACAAACTTCCAGCGCTCCGCGCGGACTTCTTAGATCGGGGCTGGGCCTCCCCGGCGGCCGATCCAGGGAATCAGCGCGGGGCTCCAAACGTCTGTTTATGCGTGTATACTCTGTTGCTCCTCATGCCCCTCGATCTCATCTGGCCAGGGCTGCGCCCATGCAAACTGTTGCCGTCCAACCTCTGGAGGGGAAGACCATGCGTAAGATTAAACGCGGAAGCGTTGCGTCGATCTTGGTCACCGTCGATCTTGGTCAGCGTCAGCTCGTGGATCATCCTCG